GAGGGGGAAGAGTTGTGAGTTGTTGAGTGGGCATCGCATCCGAGGACCTTCCAATAATTTTCCTTACTCCGAGATCTGCCGGTGGGCCCCACCTCTTACAGTATCGACACGTGTGATTGCTCACAGAGATCTGTGCGTGTCGTTTTGTAAACGTCTGGCTCATGAGTTAGCGTCGTTTTTTGGACCACGTGGCACTTACTTTAACATTTTTCCGAACTGGCGGGGCCCAGTCAACTCATTTTCTAATTTCTAATTTTTGTCTTTTCGTTTTTTTCCACGCAAAGGTGAGATATAGATAAATATAAATATATAGTATTTACTATTAGTTATTTAATTCGTACATTATTAACTTTATAGTTTTTTTTGTATAGAGGGAAATAGATAGGTTGTTGAAGGGAAAAAAAATTAGAAAACTATTTAAATATTTTGTAATTAAAAAAATCGATCTCAATATTTTTAGGTTACCAGTACCTAATAAGCTAGTTAGTTATGCTTAGGTTGAGATTGAAAAAATAATATTAAAATAATTTAAATCTCAAATTTTACATTCTTATCTCTTGTTCAAATGTAGTCTTATCCTTATTTTTGTTTTCAACCTTTTCAAAATATAATATTTATTTTATTTTTATTATTAAATTTATTTTTTGTATTAAGTAGAAATCTTAAAACATTTGATTTTCTATTGAAGTTTCTCCTCAAAAAAATATGAATTTAAATATATTTTTTTTAAGTAGAAAATAATACTACTATTTAAGTTAGGCTATGGTGTCGGAATATGCCAGAAAAAGTTTCTTTTTCATATTTTCTTTTCCTTCTCTGATCTTTTTCCACTGTGGATGCAACCTTTGAACTTTTTTTTCTATAATCAAATTTATTTATTTTTTTCACATTTTCTACTGAAAGTATTTTTTTTAAATGACCAGGTTGAATTTAAATCTAGCTGAATAATAATATAAATGGATGTAAATTCCATACATAATTCATTATTATTAAAATTTTATAATTAAGTTGATGCTTTTAATTTTCCCCTGAAAATTTGGTAATGGAGAAACAAAATATCACTGTTCATGTTGTTTCTTTCCTTCATCTTCCTTTTTTCCTTCTTCTATTGGACTATTTTAACCTCACTTTAATTTCTAATTTACTAAAATGCTATTAGATTTTGTATTTATCTCCCCAAAGTCGTGTCAATCCTTTTGACATCAACTTCATTAGTTGATTTAGATTATCTATTCACATCTCTTTTTTTTTAATTAATTGAGATGAAATTTTGCTACAAGACAGCATTAATTATCATAAAACAAATCCTTATTTGCAACTAATATATTTCATATCGGTATGATTTTCGATAACATATGAAAGAAAAAATTAAATCTATGAGTTCGTTCGTCCCTTTGGGACCAACAATGAATAGCACAAGAATATTAATTTGTTGGTTTTGTCCATCGACTACGTCTTTCAATATAACGTTTGGCCGTAGCTCACTCTTCAATGGACGAATCTTATAGAAGAACCTATTTATTTTCAGAGTATTAGATTCTCACCAATGTTTGCATATTATTCAAGTAGACATTTTCGCTCGCTATAATTTATATTTATGTAAATTTCAAGTGACCAAATCAATCAAAATAATATAGCTAAGTTCATATTTAACAGTATAAAAAGGAGAAAAAGGCATTAGATTTTTTTTAATGTTGATTATTTTCACTCCAATGTAACTTAGATATGGGAGTTCTTTTCCCACTTATTTGTTTTAGATATAATTATAAGTTTTATTTTGATTTTTTTCAGTATTATAAAAGATGGAAGTGAGGATTTAGACCTCCACTATAAAAAGGTTTTTGTCGTTTGTTAATAACTCAATTCACGGATAGTTCCAAGGTAACTTCATATTAAAACTCATATTTATAAATGAACTATGTTAAAGATCCGACATTGAAAAGATATAAGATTTAACAAAGATTTATAATTCACTGTTACTCCTCTCTTAACCAATTTTGATTTTGAAATTGAACTTTAATAAATGTTGATGTGATATTAGAGTACCGGTTAAGGATTATCTCTAACAAAAGTTTATAATATACTAATTTTTCAAAAAGTCTTTTCACTATATAGTTTATCTTTTACGAAGATAATTCTAGTTTTTGAAATCACTAATTTGATCAATAATTTGCTTATTGCTTTTTGTTTTTTAAAATATAGTTTGTTCAATACCATGTGATTTCCTTTTATGTCATCTGTATGTATTCACTTTCAAAAATCATAATTAAATTTGAAACGTTAAAGTCTTCAAAAGGGTCTCAATAGACTTTAAAATTGTTAAGTAAATAAGTATAAAGATGAAATCTTTATCAAATATATGCAACTTTAAAATCAGTTTTAATGGTAACCTGAAGAAATATAGCAAAACAGGTTAAGACATCGATCTATGTTTGATTAGAAAATTGTGAATCGAATCCTTCAACCCACACGAGTTCATTTATCAAAACATCACATCATGTCAATTCAGTCAATACTTATATATAATAGTCTGGTCACATTTATTTTAAATAATAATATTGCTTAACAACAAAGACTAAATAGAAACACATATATATATATATCAATTAAAGAGTCAAAAGGCTAAATTTATAATTTGACTTAGGTAAAGGTTGAGTTTTACATATTTCTTAGAAAGGTTAAATTTATAATCTGACCTATGCAAAGGCAAAGTCGGACATTTTCTTATGAGACAAAATTGTACATATTAATTATTTGTATATAAAATATTTCAATTATGAAAATTTGGGAGGAAGGGGAGCAAATTAGAGGAAAACTACCAATTTTAAATTTTGACATTAAAAAATTTTTAAATTTTTAAATATACTTTTTGAATTACGACGAATTAAGGGACAATTCCTTGTTGGCTCCTTTCGCCTAAAGAAATAAAAGATAGAAAGGAAATTAGAAAAAGTGAAAAAGAAAAAGAGAAAGAAAAATAGGAGAGAGGTAGGTATGGGAAATTATAAACAACAATTCATAGAAGGAAAAAAAGGTTAAAAATTAGGGTAGGTTTGGTCATTGAATCCAAGAAAATGGAGAACATCCATGTCACTCTCATTCACATGGCAAGAAAATAAAAATAAAAAAAAATAAAAACAAAGAAAAGAGATAATACCAATTACCAAACCCCTCTTCTAATTCCTTGTCCCTTCAACCATAGATTTCTCTTTCCACAAAATTTTCATTATATATATTATATTTTCTAGAATCGATGTCATTCCTATAATCGAGATTCATTGTCTAAACACACAATAATCATTATAGACATAGGAATCGAACATAAGACATGGTAGGTGATACCATAAGACCCCATATCTTTATTACTATCCTTTTTTTTCAAGTGGATAAAATTTTCAATATATATTGAAAATAGACTCTTTATCGACGAATACCAATCTGAGAAATGAAAAAATATTCGACTGTTTCAATTTTTCCTTGTCGGGTGAGAGAAAAATATTAACAAAAATAGTTTAAATAGAGGGTAGGAATAACAATGATGTCTGCTTCACTATTAGCATTTTCTCTCTCTCTCTTATAAATTACAGTCTCAATCTCTGTTTTAATTTGTGTTTCCTCATTTGCCATCTGCTGCCTTTCTCTCCCTCAGAAAATTCACTTTTCTCACAGAATCTAGAATTTTCTCGGACTCCAAACACTCCTCTCTCTCTCTCTAAACTGTGAGTTAATTCTCTCTCTCTCTCTCTCTCATTTTATTTGGTAAATTGGGTGTGTTCTTGGCTCACTCTGATCAGAAATCCAGAATTTTCTTGGACCCCAAACACTCATCTTAATGTCTGAACTGTGAGTTTAATTAGTTTCACCACTCTCTTTCTCTCTTTGCTTTACTTTATTTGTACAAGAAACTTTTTTGAATCTTCTTTGAAGGAAAAAAAATAAAAAATTTCTTTGCTTTTACAAAGAAAAGTCTGCTCCTTGGCCATACACAAAGAAGACTATAATATGTATGTATTTTGTATGCATGCATATGCATGTATCAACATGGATTTACGTCTTATTTTTCCTTTTTTTTTTTAAGTTCGTTAAATTAATATTCGACTTTTAAAGATGTATGTTTGAGCTTGAGCTTGTAATATTTTTATGTTTGTGTCAATTTCATCTCTATATATATATATATTTTTTTATTTTATCTGTATATTTTATTTTTTTAACGGGTGTTTAAAATTTATTCTGGAAATAAATAAACTAAGAATATAAAAGTGAAATTAAAATTCTCAAAAGTATGGAGAGAGAAAATTAAAACAAATTTAAAATGTTGACCTTACAAATGTTGAAGGAACCACCATACAAATTTAAAAAAAAAAAAAACCAATCTCAATAGAATTTGTCTCTACTTGAGATCCATTGTTTCTGATTATGACAGAGTTTCAATGTTGCTATGTTTTCAATATTATTATATATGTTTTCAATAGTCAATTATTCCAAAATTCAGGAATAGTAGATATTTGTAAGTGTTTATTTTTAAATTTTAATTTATTATTATTTTTTTACAATGTTGCATATTGAAATATTGGGATGTATTGTTTTCAAATATATATTTTTTTAAACAAAAGTTGTGCGATTTTTTTTTCGTGAACATAGCTCAATTATTTAATATATATATTATCGACTATAAAGTAGTGAGTTTGAATTCTCACTCATGGTCACTTTTAACTTATTTTCTTTTAGTTTATCCTCGAAAATCAATTTTTTATTTCTAAGGAAAAAAATAAAGATGTTATCCCGTTATGACTTTTTTGAATAATAAAATCCATTACGAGCTATCTAATCACAACTACTAAAAACCATTTAAAAAGAATAAATATATTCTCCCAAATGATCAACCAAATTTTAGTTTTTTCTTTATATATATTTTTTATTTTTAACGAAGATCAGTTTTGGCCAAAAAATGACTCAAATTTTTTTTCCTTTTCTTCATAGAACACTGCAAATGATGAGCTCTGGAACAGAATATAGAAACCGTCCAATTTGTGATAATCTGCAAACCAGAAACCGTAGCCCAAACTACACCACTGATAATTCTCAATCCTGGTGGTGGCACGGCGGCGGACACGGCGGCGCTACTACTACCACCACCACCACCATGTCAAAGGAAGACGAATCAAATTGGGCTTGGCCCAAAGGCTTGGTTAGCAGTGGGCCAGGGCCCAAAACAAGCATCAAGCAAATGCAAACAACTATATCCCCACCTCAAGGTAAGGTTAAATATGTCATTTGGTCAAGCTATAAAATATCGTTTAGTTTTGTTTTTTTATATTTAAAAAGTTTAGTTTTCTTTTACTTTGATGATATTAACTTTCTAGTCTAGTCATACTAAAAAATACCATTGAAATTGAAATAGTGATGTGACATTAAAAATTTAAATTTATATATTTCATATCAATTAGCATTTTTTGAACATTCAATATTCATTTCAATTTGTTTACTAAAAAAATTTCAAACAAATCTATTAAACTTGTGCATAGTTCAACTCTTAAACTTTCTTACTCCTTTTAAGAGTTCGTAGGTTTAAATCACCACCCACCCACAGGTAATAATATTCTAATTTAATGAAAGAAATCTAACCTTGTTTGAATTAAAAAAAAAAAAGATATCATTTGGATCACTTGTATTATGATAAAGAACAATTTATCTCTCATTAATATTGAGAGAAAGCTATTTACCTTGGTTATTTTTTGGTCTCGTTTTCTATTTTTGATTTTGATGCAGTAGTTATTCTTTTACCTATTACATTGCTCGATGTGTTAGAGTTATTTTCTTTATATTCGGAGTACAGTATCTGTTTTTTAATATGAGTAGATTTATTCTTCCTTTAAATATTGTGCAGACTGTCATTATTTTATGATACTATAGTCTAAAAGCTCAAATAAGTATTGAGTCAAATAATGGAATTCGGCCTAGATTGGTGAACCAAAAAGAAATGCTATCTTAAAAGGGCATATTCCACAATAAAAAGATAATCAACCTAACAATAGTTTATAATGTAATATAAGTGGGTTATATTTCTTATTACCAATTAATTTTGAGATAGAACACATGAATATTAATATGATATTAGTGCTAAGGAGTTAAGGATCCCACATTGAAAATAAAAGGGACTTAAAAAGGGTTTATAATAGACATGACTACTCCTCTCTTTGCCAATTAATTTTGAGATGAAATCCATGAATTTTTTTTTAGTTTCTAAAAATAGAATGGTGTGTAACTCTAGTTCTCAATTAACTTACAAAAATTTATAATAGACATAGACCATTCCTCTGGTTGTCAATTGATTTTGAAATAGAATCCATGAATATTGATATCTCAAACTTATCTTTCTCTCTCTGAACATTTTAAAACATAAAATTAGAAATTAAATAATGATGAAGAACAGTCTTGTTTGAATTTGGACATGATCAGGTGGAGAATCCGCTGCAACACCAAATAAGAGTAGAGATGCATCCATTATGCTTCCATTGATGAACAATGAACACCTTGCCTCCACTTCCCACTCAGAGCTTGTTACCCTTCCAATGGTATTTTCTCTCTCTCTCTCTAGATCTCACTCTCTCTCTAGATCTCACTCTCTCTCTCTCTTCATATTGGAACTAATTTCTCTTTCTAACAGACAGCTACATCGTACCAGTACCATGATGCTTGCAATGGAGGAATAACGATGCCTCCATTTGGGTTTCAAACATTGGTATGAATATCAGATATTAAAATCTTGTCCTTCTCTTGTTTCTTTTAGTTTCTTGTGTTTTTTTTTGTTAGAAAGAAAAATTGAAATATATTTACTAATGATTTCTTTTAAGTCTCCATCAATATAAAATTGGTTAAATCTATAAACTAATCCAAACCCAAAAAGTAGTCTCTATACTATAATGATTTGTTTTTTTTGAGGTACTTAGTTTAATGAGTTAGTACTAGAAAATAGTGTAATTACGTCTCTAAGAGATCTATAATGAGTTGAGGGTGTTATTTGGGATGAAACAATATACTTAGTTATTGATAGGCGCGATCAGTTGAATTCTTCTTACTAACTATCATTAAAAATTTGACAGCTATTTATTTATTTTGAATAAAAAGAAAAAAATCTCTCTTTTCTCACTCTCCTTTTGTATTCATCTCCTACTTATAAAAAATTTAATGTAACCGTGGGGAATGCGACCAAAGTTCATGTTAGTTAAATAAGGGGTAGATCATCGGTACATAAAGTGAGAGATATTATCTTAATTAATATGAAACTTTTTAGGTGAAACCAAAAGTAAAACCATGAGAGTTATGCCAAAAGTGAACAATATCATATCATTATATAGATACTTGAAGTAGTTAAAGCACCGTTTTTCTTAATAGCAACAAAAAATTCTTACTGATCGGTCAATAGCGAAGTATTATCATTGATGTTTCTAACTCTGTTCGACGTGTTTTTAGAGTTATAGATTTGATATTTTGTTGTAGGGTTTAGATTTTCTTTAGTTATTGAATTTTATGGTTATATTTGGATAACCGACAGAAATTAGTAACACTTTAGCTTTGGTATTATGGTACCAATAATTATTATGAAAGTATGTGCTTTATCTTAGCAGAATTCAGAATATAGCAAAGTGGCACATGGTAGAATGGCTCTGCCTCTTGCGATCGCAGAAGAACCTGTTTACGTGAACGCCAAGCAGTACCATGGAATTCTACGTCGACGACAATCCCGAGCCAAAGCCGAAGTTGAAAACAGGATAAACAGATCACAAAAGAAGGTAACCAAAAGGAGTAGCAAGCTCACTTCTTTTTAACCACAAATTCCTATCTCATCAGCTTATGCTTTCATGCATTTATTGTGCAGCCCTATCTTCACGAGTCGAGACACCTGCACGCCATGAGAAGGGAGAGGGGCTGCGGAGGCCGTTTCGTGAGCAAGAAGAAGAAGGTGGAAAGTTCAGCTTCCATGGATGATGATGAAAATGGCAGCAACATCAGCTTAGGCTCTGAGCCAATGTCTAATGGCAGCAGCTGCTATGAAGGATCAGGGTTACACTTATCTGCATATATATGATCGATTCTGCCGTTGGAATGTTTCTTAAAGTTGGTAGGACGAAATAGATGTTAAATCACTACTCAACCTCAAACCCTAAATTTATAAGTTAATTAGATCATAGATTATAATTATTGACACTCTTTGTAAATCATTAAATAGACTTAATAGTTTAAGTTTTTTTTGATCTAATAGTAATATAATATATAGTCAGAGTAAGATGTCCAAGATGTGAAAAGCTCACGTAGGGTTTCATGAATCAAATTAATATATAAGTCTGAATCATAATTCTTAAATTTAAAAGTTAAGGACGCCTTTTATTGGTAATCAGGAAACATAAATTTAAAAACAGAGTTAGTATTCTTTATTTTTAGTGTTTTCAGATATATGTTTGGTAGTAAATTTGGTAATTGAATCTCAATTTGAAAAATTATTCAAGGTGTGTTTAGTAATATAAAAAACGAATCTCCAAAATCCTGCCAACTTGTATTCGCTAAATCCACTGATTCAGTGAATCTGAAAAAAAAAAAACATAATCCGAGTTTACAACCAAACACATCGTAAGCTTTTAGATTTAATAGTGATTTAACCTGATATTAGAGTAGAATATTATGATATTAATAGTTCATGCGTTAAGCTTCATGAATAAAATTAGTACTCGATCAACGTACACGGAGAGGAGAATATATATATATATATAAAGAGCAATCAACTTTAATGACTAGCCAAAGTGAGCATAACGAGAAGGTTGAAAATTCGATCCCCACCCCCACATGTTGTACTAAAAAGAAGAAATTTTAACGGTCCATTTTACCCTTCCATTTTTTAAATGTGTGTCAATATTGTCCTGTAATCTTTCCATCTTCCATATTTTCTCTTCCTTTCACGTTTATTTGCCTTTCCATCTTTCATCGTCCTCTTAAATGTCGTGTTTCCTCTTTTTCAATGGCACAAAATTGTAGTATGAATTCATACTATTATTTATGTTATTATTCAATGTTATTTTGGCCAATTCAAGTCTCAAATTTCTTTTAGTCTTCCCAATACCTTTCTAAATATACACATAAAAAAATAAGTTTTATACTAAACATGCTTAGCACAAGTGAAACACACAATATATTGTGTCAATATTGTCCTTTAATCTTTCCATCATCTCCCCTCTTTTTTCTTACTCTCACGTTTATGATATTGAGTTGATGAGGGGGCAGCAATAAAAAGATTATTATTATCACTTTGTGGAAGATCGTCACTGGATCAAATGTCAAAACTCTCACCCAAAAATAGGAGAGAATTTGACAACCATTTCATATATTTAAATTACAAAACTTTGAGCAAGATCAATATAATTTACATAATTGGATGATGAACTTCTAGACCATAAATATCTTCCCAAGATTCCTTAGCATGAGAGGATCTACAAATGGATCCTCTCTTCCAACGAATTTCACGAAACCAAGAACTATCAACCTTTGAATTAGGATTGCCAACTCGTGACTCAAGGTGCAAGAGCAGTGTGAGAGAGAAAAGAGACCTTTTTTATTTTAACAAAATCAAACAGGGAATGATCGAGATCCATTCTCCCGTTTGAAGGGTAACATGTAGAAGTGATTGTTTGATTCTTCCGTGAATTTTGTAAAAAATAACAAGAGAAACTTTTGGTTTCATGCAAAAGACCTCATACCAATGGAGATAATTGTCTTTCTTTATATACCATGGATCACCCTTTTCCCTAACCAATGTGTGAGTTTGTTTGCACTCTTTACAAACTCAATAACAAGTTGCATCAGTATTTAGCTTTAGCCAATGCGGCACGGAATCCACACGTTTTCCTAGTGATCCATGTTGCGGAGCAAGGTGGGGTGGATGGGAGCATTTGCATCTCCTGCCGAAGTCACGTACGAGGTAATCCAATTAGCTTTTTGGGGAACATTTGGAACTTGTTTGTGTTGGTTAATTAATTTGGTTTCTATCATTCCAAATCGACCAATAAAAAGTGGTTACTGTTAAACAACAAAATAATAAACCAACAAAATACAACAAAATAACACACCAGCAGAATATATTAACACCTCAACAAGTGATATTTCAAAATAGTAGCAGTAGATCTACAGGTCCTTGATTGGCATCATTCCATGATCAACATATTCTCCTTCCTTATTTGGTGAAGATTTTAAGCAATCTACAGCAACTCAATTACTCAGCAATATCCCTTAATTACTGGCCTTTATTCATTTCTTATTACCGTTGCAGCCTTCCTTACCTATTTTATTTTTCCTTTCTTGCTTTAGCTTGGTCAGTGGTAGTCTTTCATGTGTCTATTTATCCATCTTGGATTTAGCTTGTAAAACATCTTTTTTCACACAAACCAGAATAATACATAATCTGTTTTCATTGTTCCTTCAATTCTATTTCTTTAACCCATTCTTTCAAGCTAAGTTTTATATGATATCAGAGCTATAGACACAACACAAGAAAGACATATCAACTACCAATTCTCTCATATCTTCACCATGGCAAAACAAGAAGCACCATTGACCATTCAATCATTTCATCAATGTGCAAGTCTCATATCCATCAAATTGAACACTTCTAACTATTTACTTTGGAAGACACAAGTATTGCCACTTATTAGGACTCTTGGAGTAGAGCATCACCTCAAAGAAGATCCACCAGAGATCAAGTAAACCCAAGATGAAAAAGAAATTGCAGAAATTAACACTTAATTCAACACATGGACCAACAATGATGGCCTTCTTACCTCATGACTTCTTGGAATTATTACGAAAGATGTGTTGGCTTTGATTGAAGGTACTGATACTGCAAAACAGGTATGACATTCTCTTGAAAATTTATTATTGACTATGACAAAAGAGAATGAGATACATGCCAATGAAGCTCTTCTTACTCTAAAGAAAGGAACATCATCTATGGATGATTATATTAGAAAGTTTAAGAGTTTATGTGACAAGCTTGCAGCAATGAAAAAGCCATTGGATGATCTATCTAGAGTCTTCCATATTGCAAAAGGGTTAGGGAGCAATTACTAGGAGTTCAGAATAGCCATGTTATCCAAACCTCCCTATCCCTCGTACAATCAATTTATTCTTGCCTTGAAAGCTCATGAACAACTAATTGTAGCTGAGTAAGAAGAAGAAAAGGCAAATCAAATAAACATTAATCAAGCCTTTTATGCCAGCTGTGGACGAGACAGGGTGAGAGGAAAAAACTTTTCTTCCAAAGGAAGAAGTTTTTATCACAATATACCAACTAAGGTTAACAACTGCCAGCAACAAGGTAATTTCTCTTCGACATCAAAACACAACTCAACCCATCATAGCAATAATATCTCAGGTCGCAAAGAAGATAGAACAATGACATGTCAAATCTGTAGTAAAAACAACCATACTGCCATGGAGTGTTGGAAGAGGTTTGATCATGCTTATCAGTCAGAAGAAATCCGTAAAGCACTTGCTACTCTCACACTGAATGAAGGCAATAATACCAACATCTATGCGGATTCTAGAGCAACCTCACATGTTGTAAACGATCCCGACAAGTTTAAAATTATATGTCCTTACTTTGGCCATGATAAAATGATTGTTGGAGATGAAAATGGGCTAAACATCACACATATTGGACACACTATATTTAAAACTAAAACAGGCCAACTTGCCCTTAATAATGTACTACTAATAGTTCCTGAAATAAAAAAGAATTTGCTATCTGTTAACAAATTAACTAAGGACAATAATTGCTCAATCACATTTTTTGCTGACAAATTTCTTATAAAGGATCAACAGGTACGAATTCTAGCTGAAGGGCAAGAAAAGAAAGGTCTTTATCGTTTGGGAAAGCTGCACCCCAAACAAGAAGAATGTGCTGAAGCCTTTGTTACTCACTCCTCTACCAAATTAGTTAATTATTCTAATTTTTCAGTTAATGATTCATGTGTTTTTGTTGATTCCTCTAATAAAGCTTCTTGTTCAATTTGGCACAAAAGAATTAGGCATTTGAATGACAACTTTCTAAAGATTTTGTCCAACAAATAGCTCATTGATGTGTCAAATTGGAAAAAGGACTTAGTTTGCATTAGTTGTCAACTAGGAAAAAGTTGCGTCAATGAAATTCATTCATTAAATCCCTTAGATAAAGTGCACTGTGATCTTTGGGGACCTGCTCCTATAACCTCTGGTTAAGGCTTTAAATACTACGTTAGTTTTATAGATGATTTCACTAAATTTATATGGCTTTATCCAATAAGAAAGAAGTCTGATTTCTTAAGTTGCTTCACTAAATTCAAATTGTTAGTTGAAAATGGAGGATAAAAGTTTTTCAAAGTGATGGAGGAGGAGAGATTCAATCCATTGCCTTTCAAAATATTTTGGAACAAAATTGAATTCACCATCAATACTCATGTCCCTACACACCCCAACTAAATGGAGCTGTAGAAAGAAAACATAGACATATTGTAGAAACTAGCCTAGCTATTATATTTCACTCTCGTATACCTTTAAAATATTGGGTGGATGCATTTTTAACCGCCGTGTACCTCATAAATAGAATGCCTACAAAAGCCTTAAATATGAACTCTCCTTTCTAAAAGCTATATGGGAGAACTCCTAATTACAATAATATGAGAATATTTGATTGTCGATGTTTTCCTTACTTACAAAGCAAACCAAATAACAAGTTCCCTAAACGAACATATCATTGTGTCTTTGTCGGTTATAGTATGGACCATAAGGGATATAGATGTCTTGACCCTTCGACCAATCGCATATATATCTCAAGGCATGTAGTGTTCGATGAAGAATTTTTTCCCTTTAATCAAACCATAGCTAACAACTCTATCAAGAGTATTTCTCCTCTTGTTGTTACTACTTTTCAGGCACAATGAATGAAGATGCAGCCTAAACTCAAGCATCTGTAAAGTCACTTGAAAACAAGACTCAAGCCACAAATTAAGAAGACCAACCTGCAGATACCAATTCATGACAAGCAGCAAAAATTAGCTACTCAACTACCATTGTGGCAAGTCTAGATGTTGTACCAGCAGTTGAAGGAGATAAAGAAGACCAAAATCATTTCAACAATACATCTACAGTAGTAGCAAAAATCAGTAGCT